AATAAAAGGCAATACTGGATTTATGGATTGTTTTAAGGACTAAGATTCAGAGTTAGAAGCAACTATATATATATGCATATAGGAGCATGATTATTAGAGTAGATATTTTAAATAGATTAAGAATGTATTGGATTGTACCTAGGTAGCATTTGGGAAATATATGAAATTTATTATATACTGGAATTGCAAAAATGATGACTGCTTAGATTGAGATGCTTTTAATAATTTATGGAATGTTTTAAATTACTAGGATAGATTTTTGTATGACAACAAAGACATGATAAGGCATGATAAGCTGGAGAAAATTTGAACTTTGTTTAATGAATATGAATGAATCAAGGTTTAGTATTATTTTGTTATTTTAAAGAGATGGATTAACTTTGGGATTACATATATATAGGGCTGATCAATATTTTATTGCTGTTAAGATATCTATTGTATAGTGGAAGAAGAAATATTGGAATATTCATGAACAGGAAGAGTCATGTGGTAACTCAGTCAGCCAATGTGAAGAAAGTGCTACTGAGTCTGTGCAAAAGAGTATTGAGTTAGGAGCTGGATTTCCAGTCTCAAGGTTTGTCTCTGGTCTGTCTCTGTAAGAAGTCTTCATTAAGCTATGTTGCTGTAAAGAAGAATGGTATTGTAAATATTTTTATATAAATATAAAGTTATTTGAATCAGCTAAATGCAGTCAACTGTGAGAGCTTCTGATTTATTTTTCACCAATAGAGAAATTAAAATTCTCTAACAGGTTATGGGCCCAGAGCTTATTAAGGACTGCATTGTAATTTAAAGCTGGAAGAAATTGCCTGTGTTTAGAAAGTGTAAGAACAAGGCAGAATTAGCAGAATGGCTGCAATGGAATTTAAGGAAAGCTGTGTGGCTCATTTGGGCCAGAAGAATTACATTATATGGGCTGCAAAAATGGAATATTTGCTGAAAGCTAAAGAGCTGTGGTATATTGTAGAAAATCCGCCACAAGTATTTGCAGCTGTTGATCAGAAAAGTCATGATCAAGCAATGGCTTATCTCATCTTGAATTTAGATGATGAACAATTTCTAAATGTTGCAAATTTAAAGACTGCAAAGGAAATTTGGTTGAAGTTGAGAGCTGTGCACGTGAATATTTTTGCATGCAATATAGTGCAGTTGTCAAGAAAACTTTACAGGGCCTGTTTGCAACCAGGTGAATCTGTGGAACAGCATTTAAATAAAATGCAAAGTTTATTTTTGGACTTAGAACAACGTGGGATTAAATTCCCTGAGTCCCAGAAGGTTGTATTGGTGTTGAACAGTTTAGATAAAATCTGGGACACAGTTTCTGCAATATTTGAATGTAAAGAAGAGCAAGACTTAAATTTTGAGGCTTTAAAGGCATGTTTGCTTAATGAAGAAATAAAGCGCCATTTTAGAAGCAGCCACAGATCGGACCCAGACCAAATTGCAACAAAGGAGAGATTTTGCAAGCAAAGAGCTGCTCAGTGGGAAAAGACTTGCTACATTTGTGGAGCAAACAACCATCTGCAAAGAAACTGTTTGCAGAGGAACAATTTGCAGAAAAACACACTTGTGCAAGGAAAAAGGACTGTTTTGCAAAAAGAACATTTTGGTGTTGCAAAAGTTTGCTATAGCAACAACAGAGACAAGTGGCTAATAGATAGTGGGGCAAGTCAAACAATTGTTAATGATTCTGAATTATTTTTCAGGTTTGTTCCAGTAGCACAAGAAGCTGTGGCTTTGGCAAATGGCCACAAAGCAAAAGTCATTGGAAGAGGCGATGTAAAAATTCCATATTTGGAATCAAAGTTTACCAATGTACTTTGTGTACCTGAGATGGAACATAATTTGTTAAGTGTGTCTAATTTAGACAAACAAGGTTTTGAGGTCATTTTTGTAAATGGGAAGTGTCTCATCAAAAGGAATGGGAATATTTGTGCAGAAGGCATAAAGGAAGATAATCTATATGTATTGCAGGGACAAAAGGTTCAATGTTCCCATATATTTAAGAATGTTGCAGAGCATGATTCATGTGTTCTACATAGAAGACTTGGCCATGCAAGCTTTAAAGTTTTGCAGCAAATGCAAGATTTTGCAGAAGGGCTAAATTTGAAGGGATGCAAAACATATTTGGACTGTGCAGTATGCAAAGCATCAAAGTCAAAGGCATTCCCAGTTAGTAACATGTAGCACAAGACAAACAAAAAGAGTTCTAGAGCTGGTCCATGCAGATCTGGTGGGACCTATGCAAGCCAGTTTGGGAGGAGCAAAATATGCACTGGTAATTGTTGATGATTATAGCAGGTATTCATTTTGCTACTTGCTTAGAGCAAAGACAGAGGTGCTACAACAATTCAAACAATGGGTAAGTTTTGTAGAGAGAAGGTACAGACAACAAGTGTGTCAGTTGCAAACTGACAGAGGTACTGAATTTATGTCAACTAAATTCCAACAATGGTGGGGGCAGTTGGGGATAAGACACAGACGTACAAATCCTTACACAGCAGCAGAGAATGGTGTAGCTGAAAGAAGGAATGGTGTTTTGCAAACAATGAAAGATTCGTTATTGGAGGATTCTGGTTTGAGCAGGTCATATTGGGGAGAAGCCATATTGACTGCCAATTATATAGTTAACAGGCTGTGGAGTTCCTCCATTAATAATACTCCATATGCCATTCTATTTGGGAGAAAGCCATCACTGGCACATTTGAGAATTTTTGGGTACATATTCCAAAAGCAATCAGAAGAAAGGGACAGCAAAAGGCAAGAAAGCTCAGGTTTGTGGGCTATGAGCCAGGGTCAAAAGGATATCACTTTAGCGATGGAAGTAAAAGAATTGTAATTTCAAGGTCTGCTAATTTTGCAGAACAAAATTGGGACAGAATTAATGCAAATTCTGGGTATGTCTCACTTAATGACGGTGATCTGTTTAGTGACAATAACTCATCTAATGATGGAAAAATTATTGAAGATGTCAATGTTCAGGGAGGAGAAGCTGAACAAGACATGAAGCCAGAAAGACTTGAGACACAGGAGCAGTTAATACCACGTAGGTCAGAGTGATGTAATAAAGGAATTCCGCCTGACAGGTATTCTGCCAGCAAGGTAAAGGTTTGCAATGTGTGATATGAGCCAAAATGTTATAAAGAGGTGTTGGCATTACCAAAAGCTGAACAAGAAAGATGGAAGGAGGCCATGGATAAAGAGATGAAATCCATGGGAGACCATGAAGTATTTAAATCAGTGACTTTGCCACAGGGAACCAAAGCTGTGGTTGTAAGTGGGTATATAAGAAAAAGGTATTGCCAAATAATGATATACAGTATAAGGCCAGGTTAGTGGCACAAGGTTTTTCACAATTAAAGAATGTATTAAGTCAATAGGTCTGATGTCTCTTCCTGTCATGAAGGGAGGAGTGTTGGAATATTCATGAGCAGGAAGAGTCATGTGGTAACTCAGTCAGCCAATGTGAAGAAAGTGCTACTGAGTCTGTGCAAAAAGAGTATTGAGTTAGGAGCTGGATTTCCAGTCTCAGGTTTGTCTCTGGTCTGTCTCTGTAAGAAGTCTTCATTAAGCTATGTTGCTGTAAAGAAGAATAGTATTGTAAATATTTTTATATAAATATAAAGTTATTTGAATCAGCTCAATGCAGTCAACTGTGAGAGCTTCTGATTTATTTTTCACCAATAGAGAAATTAAAATTCTCTAACAAGAAATAAATGAGTTTGGTATAAAATGAGGGATGTGAGAGATTAAGAATTAGAATCGATAATTTTTTGATTTAAATTTAAACTATTGTATTTGTAAAGTGATAAAGTTATAAGAGGTTTAATAGTGATAGAAATTTAAAATAGAAATGGAATATTTAAATATATTATGTTAACTGAGGGGAATAGAGGGGGGATAGTGAAATTTATTGAGTTGTGTTGTTTATATATATTTTCACTTTTGAATGTTTGACCACCTAACCATCACAGTGGGTCTTGAGTATTTTTTGTTTAAGAATGTTAAAAAACCAATAAAATGTCTTTTTAAAAAAGCACTGGGTAGTGGTATTCCTGCAGCTTTAAGTGCAGGTAATCTTCTAGGCTTCCAAATTTTGATCAAGTGACATTTAGCACTGTCATAACTTTGAATGGTCACTGGGTGAATTATCATAAACCAAGGTCTATCTATACCAGTGGTTCTTAACCTGTGGGTTGCGACCCCATTTGGGGTCAAACAACCATTTCACGGGGGTCGCCAAAAATCGCAGTCCGCCATTGTTTTCCCCTTTTCCTTAGCTGTGCTACTCCCTTTTATTCTATTGGCTTTTGAAAACCAATAGAATAGACTCTCTTGAATAGGAATTGTCCAGGCTGTCTCTGCCCTGCTGAGCCCGCCAAAAGTCCCATTTTGCAAACGGTGCTGCAAATTGTCTGCAGCGAAGGTGAGCTGTCTGGAAGTTTCTACCCCTCCCTGCTGAGCAACTACTAAAAATGTAAGTAAAAGAGGGCCAGGGGTGGGAGGTGGGAAGCCGGCGGGCTCAGGGAGGGTTGTTGATGTGTGTGGGGCCCGGCGGGTGCCTTACCTCCCTTGGGCTGGGCCAGCTGGTGGCCCAGCCATTGGTCGACCTGCGCCGTCGCTGCCCCTTGCTAGCTATGCCTCGGCCGGCGCAGGGGGCAGCACCACGCATGCGTGGCACTTCCGGGCAGGGAAAGTCCTCGACCTATGACCGGTTGGGTAGTCCTCGACTTACGACCAGTTGGGTAGTCCTTGACTTACGACCGGTTCGGGGTCACGGCATTAAAAAGGTTGAGAACCACTGATCTATACATTCTTAAACTGTTCTATAAGCTGACATATTAGAATTGTGGATCATTTTTTTAATCTATAAATAGCTTCTAGGAGAATTTAGTATGGCAAATCAGAGGTAAGAAGTATGAAAATATATTTCCAAGTATGTTGAAAACTGAAATATAGTGTTCTGACAAAGAGGAAAAAAAGACAGGAAATGAAACATATCATTTAAAAATGATTTATTAAGAGAAAAATTCATAGTTATCTTTATTGTTATTAGACATAATGGATTTACATTATATAAATTATCTGTACAGCCAAATGATGCTCCCATACACAAAAGGAAGCTTTCACTAGGTTTGGGAGTGACCAATATTTAGTAGTTTTATAACTCAGAAATTAAACTGATTTCTACCTTTCAAGATAGAGTGAACTTTATTTAGTGCTGAACTGGGAAATGTGGAGACTGGGAGTGCTCATTTCACTTGACACCTTTCCACTAGCTAATTGCAGAAGACAGTTAATAACCATATCTTTGGCTTCGGTGGTCTTCATGTTCATCTCTTGGGATAGTTTCATGCTGATTTGATCTACATTTGTCATTATGAACTCTGAAGTCAAGATTTGAGTGGGAGATATGCTGCTGCCCATCACATCCATGATATATTGTTTATAAAGCTCTAGCACTTTCTCTTCCAAATAATTATTCAGAATTGAATTTGAGAGAGGCTGCTGATGGTGCATGATGCTGGCCATGATGCAGCATGATGAATTCCTTTGGGACGGTTTCCGCGGGACCTCAACAGGCAATATTGGAATTGAATCTATTGCCAATGGAATCTCTGACGATTCCAAGAATGGGCATATCCCACTGTCATAAATAGCATCTCTTTTAATTGAATTCATTGGCAGCACTTGATCACCAGCGATATGCAGGTCATTGTAGTTCTTACAAATGCTTTTACAAGAAGAAGGAACAAGGTAAGTGTCTTTGCTTATGGATGATCCCACACAGATTTCCACAGGTTCAGATGTTTGCCTTTCAAATATTGGATACTGAATAGTTTGTTTCAATGTGTCTTTCTTTTGTTTATTATTTTTGTGTTTTTTGGAAGAAACAGAGATCATAAATGTGTCCATGGATCTATAATTGCAAAATAAACTTCTACTTTGCATGTTGTCTGTTGATTCATAAGTGACACCATTTAATGACTTCAATTCATGTATTGCCTCTTCTGTTTCTGTTCCATAGAGCGTGTAATTCAAGAGCTCATGATAAGGGATTTTACAAAGATATCCTTCAGACAACATTCTTTGGTGAGAGGGGAGAAGAAAAAAAGATTATCAGAACATGCAAAATATTACTAATAAGAAATCAGAGCTGACTGTGAGTTTACTGGCTGAAATATTTGGCATGGTATTTGATCAAATATAATGTGCTGACCTTGAAATAAGTATGGTATCTAAATTCATTCTTAATTAATCATAATCCCTGTTTCAAAGCTTATGAAACTTAAGATAAAACAGCCATTCCAGCCAAGTAACATATTACCGGTGTATACATGTAAGAGTTTATTGATAAATCAAGAGCCAAATTCTATTAGGGTAGCCACACTCTTTGTTTCTCAGTATGAAGACCATGACAATGGAAGACCAATCTGGTCCTTTCCATTAATGAGACAAGGAACAGCTGTGGGGAATTTGCTGAGCCACTCACACTAGACAAAGACTTCTACTTTTGCTAATTTGGAAAGTACAAGGGTAGCATTACTGTGCTACAATTATCAGCTACAGTAATTTTAATCACAGACTTTGGCCTAATAAAAAGAAATAAGGGCCAAAAATAGCATTTCAAAAAACCCCAGCAAAAGAATACCAAATACCTAAGAATGATATGATGCAAATCATATTTTTTTTACCTTAATAAAATTGTTTTATCTTCCTTTTTTTCCATTCCATATTCTGTTTTTCTAATTTTGAATCTGCAAAAAAGGGTTTTTCCTCTATTTTGAATTGCTTATATTTGAATATAGGCTGCTTTGAAAGACAATAATTTCTGGGGGGAAAATGTATTTTTTAAGCAATATATAATTATTAGCACATCTGAACAGTAATAGTTTAGTTAACATTTAAAAGTTACGTTTAAAATATTAGTAAAGGTTCTTAAAATTATTTGAAAAATAATAAATACTTTGCAATAATTTGACCCAAACATAGAAAACATAAATTAATCAAGTGTTTCTTTAATAGTAATTATGCACCTAAAATAAGTTGTAAAAGAAAAGAATATCTATAGCCCAACTAGCTGACATATCAGTGAGTATGTGATTTGCTGCCTGTCTATATGCAGTAGCTTGCCCTGTCAGTTTTGGTACAGATGTAATTTCTCCTTGGTGATTTCTTTGATCAGGGTATTATTTTCTGCACAATTGTTTGCCTGGTGCTGGTCCATTATCTGAATGTGGTACTGATGGGATTCAAATATGTGAATAAATGGTTCTCTGTGTGGATGCAGCTTCCGGAAGTCCATTCTGGGCCTGGGCAACAAAAAATTAGCTACCGGTTCTGCTGAAGTGGTGCGAACTGACTGAATCCCACCACTGGAATGTGGGCTGATGAAGGGGGATATGTTGTAATCTTTTTATTTGCATCCTAGGTTTTTTATTGTCTCTTTTAAATTATTTGTAATTATGGTTTATGTCTATGTATTTACTGGTGACTGATTTGTCTGAATTTAAGCTTCCAGGAAATAATAATAATAATAATAATAATAATAATAATAATAATAATAACAACAACAACAACAACAACAACAACAACAAACAACAATTACTACTACTACTACTATTATTATTATTATTATTATTATTATTATTATTATTATTATTACTATTACTATTTTGGAAGGTTTGGAGGTCATTCAGTCCAACCCTCTGCTCAGACAGGAAACCCTATACCATTTCAGACAAATGGCAGTACAGTCTCTTCTTAAAAACTTCCAATGTTGCAGCATTCACAACTTCTGGAGACAGGTTGTTCCACTGATTAATTGTTCTAACTGTCAAAAAGTTTCTCCTTAGTTCTAGGTTGCTTCTCTCCTTGATTACTTTCCATCCATTGCTTCTTGTCCTGCCTTCAGGTGCTTTGGAGAATAGCTTGACTCCCTCTTCTTTGTGGCAGCTCCTGAGATATTGGAACACTGCTATCATGTCACCCCTAGTCCTTCTCTTCATTAAACTAGACGTACCCAATTCCAGCAACCGTTTCTTATATGTTTTAGCCTCCAGTCTCCTAATCATCTTTGTTGCTCTTCTCAGTACTCTTTCTAGAGTCTCAACATCTTTTTTACATCATGGTGACCAAAACTGGATGAAGTATTCCAAGTGGCCTTACCAAGGCGTTGTAAAGTGCTATTAATACTTCACGTGATCTTGATTCTATCCCTCTATTAATGCAATTCCCTAGCATTTTTTTTTAATTTGGCTTGGTCTAAGAAGCTAATAGTTTCTCTGTTGAAACTGTGTTTGAGTCTGTCCTCATGTTATGAGATTAACAAGTTTTTGTCATGTCTTCTGGAGCTACTTGATATTTTGGTGCACTTGGCTGGTCTTTTTGTCCTACATAGTTGACTGTTGCAGTCTTTTCATTGTACATGACCTTTTTTTTCTTCTTGGGCTATTGGGTCATTTGATTTTATTAAGATGTTTTGAAGGGCTTTAACAAAAATCTCTGGTCCAATTTTGCACTGAAATGCAAAATAGACAGTTTTAATGATCCTTTAAGCCATGCGTCCCCAACCTCTGGGCCACAACCTATTTGCAACTGGGATGCAACTGTCAGGCTGGCATGTACGCACACGCTTGTGCAGCTCAATTTGTGCAAGTTGAGTTGTGTGCACATACATGTGCATGCCAGTCTGCCACTCACATGTGTTGAACTGTGCACCAGCCTACCAGCCCACTGCTCATATAGCCCATTTCTTTCTCCCCCCCTCTAGCAAGGCTGCCAAGCTACAAAGGTGGTGGATCACTGTTTTAAGCAATAAAGAATAGATGGTTTAATAGTCACAGCTCTTGCAAAGCAGTACAAATGTGACAAGGTATATTTATATGCTAATCACATGAAGTATTAATACCACTTTACAATGCCTTGATAAGGCCACACTTGGAATACTGCATCCAGTTTTGGTCACCATGATGTAAGAAAGATATTGAGACTCTAGAAAGAGTACAGAGAAGAGCAACAAAGATGATCAGGGGATTGGAGGCTAAAACATATAAAGAATGGTTGCTGGAATTGGGCATGTCTAGTTTAATGAAGAGAAGGACGAGGGGGGGGGGCATGATAGCAGTGTTCCAATATCTCAGGGGCTGCCACAAAGAAGAGGGAGTCAAGCTATTCTCCAAAGCGCCTGAAGGCAGAACAAGAAGCAAAGGATGGAAAGTAATCAAGGAGAGAAGCAACCTAGAACTAAGGAGAAACTTTTTGACAGTTAGAACAATTAATCAGTGGAAAGGAAACTATTATTTTTTTATTCATCTGATTTAAAACAGCAACAGCACATCCACTTGACAGATAAGATATGTGACCTACTGGTAATCCAGTAGGATCATGCTTTTTTTTTTTTAACAAGCCTTTGCAAAGTGGCTATCAAGTCAGGGCTAAATTGAAGTTGCTGCAGTAAGAATAATTATCTGGAGCAGGGGAAAGAGAAGCATTAAAAGCAGATGAGTAACAGAACACTGAGTTATTTTAAGCAGGCTTGCACCCTTACTGGAAGCAGCTCTCCAAAGTTCTGGAAATAATCTTTTAAGCCCAATTTGGAAATTTGAAATGTTTCCATGGAAGTCAGTAAAGAGCTTAAATATAAAAGGAAAGAGAAGAGCAAAATAAAAAAGCACATGCAAGTAAGTTACAAGAGAGATGGAAAAGTTGAATCCTGTTATATCTTTCACAATCATATCATATTGCCTGTTTATAGGCCAGGGATATCAAACTGCCGGCCCGCGGGCTGGATGCATCATAGTGAAACCGCACCCACTCTATTGCCGGCAATGGCAAAAAAGTCATGATACGTCACGACATGTCACATGACATTGTGAGTTTGACACCCCGTTATAGGCAAACATCAAGAGACCAGAGGGGTCACCAAGTTCAGCAGCAGAGACTTTTACAATATATTGTTCAAGAATGTATCTCTTTTAGCTTACAGATTTCTGATGAACCCGAAGACAAATCTCAGCAGACCTGTTGTTGGCAACTGAATGTTATGCTTCAACTATTTCTTTATATCACTATATGTGTGCCTTTCCTAAAGGAAATCCTAAATAAAATGCAAGGCTATTGGAGAAGAAAACAATTGGTTTCAGAAAAATGGCATTCACTTTATTTTACTAGTAAATAAAACTGAAAAACAGTCCTGGCTCTTACTGAATAACCATTAAATAAATGGCTACAATGAATATTTAACTACCAGCCATGATAGACTTCAGCTGTATTTTGTCCAATAGTCAAAAGGTGAATGTTCTGCACAGAAAGCATATCCAAACATTTATATTCATTGTCTAAAGCTGCACCTTTATAGCTAGTGAGTTCCTACACTAGGATGACTGAATAGGGAATAAATGATACATAAAGAAACATCCCATTTCCAATAAAGTTTGTGTGAAATGAACTTTAAAAAATCAAGTTATCTTATCACTCAAGCATGTTGCAATAGTCTAGACAGAATGTGACCAAGGCATGGATAACTTGCTGTGAAATTATTAAGCTCAGACAAAAGTGATATATAAATTCATTAACAACTGAGCCTTAAAGAAAACCCTCTAAATATGGATCTACATTTTCATTCAGATGCAAACCCATTCAAAACAGGTTAAACCCAGTGGTGGGATTCAAATACATGAACAACCGGTTCTCTGTGTGGATGCTGCTTCCGGAAGTCCATTCTGAGCCTGGGCAACAAAAAATTAGCTACTGGTACTGCTGAACTAGTGCGAACTGGCTGAATCCCACTACTGGCTGAACCTCAGTGTTCTAGTCTGCTTTCTTACTCATCAATGGCAGTCTTGTCTAAATTTAATTATAGTTTGTTTATATCCACCTGATTAGTGAGTTTAAGTAATGTTCAAGATGTTGATTTGGATAGTAAGACTTTTATTTATGCATTATCAAATTTATATAGCCCAAAGACAACCCTGGGCAGCAAACAGCAATAGATAAAACAGCCAATATAAAAACAGATTAAAATCTAAACAACCACAATCATACAAATAAAAATACTAACCATAGGCAAAGGGAGGATAAAAATGGCTTCCTCACTAATGGAACCACTGAGACAAATCTCTGCTTTTCAGGAAGGCCATGTCCTGACAGCATAACCAAGTCTTGAGAGTCTTTCAGAAAATCAAATATGTTAGGTGTCATCAATATACTGATGACATGCAATGCCAATATCTCACATGATGTTTCCAAAAATGTTTAACATACATATTAAACAATATGGTGACAAGATAAATTATTGTAGGACCAAAGATCAACAGCCTACGTAACAAATATAACTGCACAGCATTTTCTTTAGAACATGGTCTGACAAGAATACACTGCCAAAAAGATGCTGAAACAATGGCACCAAAAGCTATTAAGGGGCTCTGGAAAACTAGCAGGAATGCACTGCCCACATCTAATTTCTAATTTAGATCATCTATCTAGGCTACTACAAAGGTCTCAGTAATCTATCCCAGCTGAAAATTCCATAAAAATGAGTCTAGCATTGTCATTAATTGTCATTAGTTGTCTCACGATAAAATTATAGTGTCACTGTCATCTAAAGACAGTGAAGGTAGTGTCTGCTACATATTTCTGCTGCATAATCTGCTGCATATTTTAGCAGCAGATAATAAATGCGTTTAACCTATTATGCTATATATAAATGTAGCACATTGTGCTGGTTTTGTCTTTGCACATACTTGTTCAGTTAACACATTTTTGGCATAGTCATGTTATCATTATGTGATTTTTCATTTTGGCATCCATTTCTTAATGCAATGCATGAATGTGTCACTAATTTCCTTGAATTATTTTATTTTAGACTGTATTTAAAATCCTTACAAATTTAGGATTTGTTTATTTAAATTATGCAGAAACCAGGATTTGCAGTGGAAGGATTGGTCTAGTGGTTAAGGCACCAGGCTAGAAAGCAAGAGACCGTGAGTTCAAGTTCTGCTTTAGCCATGAAAGCCAGTTGGGTAACCTTGGGCCAGTCACCCACAGCCCAACTCATCTCACAGAGTTTTTGTTGTTGGAAAATAGGCGAAGAAAGATGTGTTGGATATGTTCACTGCCTTATTTGTAAAAATATAATAAATAAATAGTCCTCACTTACCTATAAAAATTAAACTTCTCCTTTAAGGCAAGATCAGTTCCCAGTTGTATAATGATGAACAGAAATGTGGTATAACACTTTGGATGTCATATATATATATATATATATCTACATATATGACACACACACACATATATGCAATACTTTTGTTTCCGTTAATGTGGGCAAAGATTTCTTTGACATGCCTGTCCCCCCTCCCCTACCCAATTCCTGACTGCATTGCTCGTGAAATGGAAATCCCCTGAATGTATTAAAAAAGGAAATGTACAAATCCCTCTCTTGTGTCAGTCTGTATAATTCTTTCTTCCTCTTTTCATTTTCATATGAAACCTTTTTGTGGAACTGTATGTTATTAAAATAGTTTATTGTTGTGTGGTAAGTATTTACAACTTGACTAAAATTTCTAACCCCCAGTGATTAGGAACAAGAAACTCTGTAGGATGGCACAACAGAAAGCATCATTTAAAGAATGTTGGCTTAAAATAAAAAATGTCAGGTATGACTAGATGAAACTGCTATTGCATTTTTTAAATTTTTTAAATTTCATACTTTGAATAACATTATTTATAAATGTCATGTGAAATAGTCAATTCATGATTAGATTTATGCAGAATCACTGTGATTGATAAATAAATAAGTAAAAAATAATTTATCTTCCTCTGAGGGACCAGCAACAGCTTTCTGATAGAAGCCAAACAAAATATCCCAATTTTATAGCATATTCAGATAATATGAAAAAAATAACTGCACAGTTGCTTCTTTTCAGTGTTTTTCAAAATTGGGACGAGGTCATATAATCATTATATTGAGTCTGTTATTTGAATTGGTCAAAGAATCTGCATATAAGTCAAAAAACGTAATAGTTACTGTGGGATAGTATCATCCTGGCTGAAGTTTGTATAGCTGAACTCTGCTGTTGCTCAACATAGAGGTTTCAACATATGCAATGATATTGTGATATTATTCCTCCAGTTTCAATCTTTCTTTCTCCAGTAGAGTAATAGAGTGTTGTTGTTTGCCACTATTTGATAATTTTAGTATGTTACACATTAACCTAGTTGCTTATGTTATTATGGTACCTTATAAGATGACTGACTAAATGAATAAATAAAGCTACTTGTTTTCCAGCTTAAAATATATGTGTTACATTATCATATTGAAAGTCTTAATTGGCATGGTTTTCATTTTTATTTAAAATATAGTGGAGGGAATTCTTGAATGGCAACTAGCATGTACATTCAACTGAATGTAGCCTTTTGCCTTGACTTCTGTTAGAATCTGTATCTATCCATTCTTATTATTATTCACTCAACATTTTCTCCCAGACTAAGGCACTGGCCAATGACAATTCATTCCATTTTCCCTCAGGGAGAAATGTTCCCAACTGAACTCTTATGTAAGAGCCATTCTGCTATACACATCAGTTGCTCAAAGTATGTATTTGATTATTGCTAATGAACTGCAATGGACAATTAAATTTTTTCCAGACGTTTTGTTGCCAGTGAAGAAGAGGACCTTTGAAGTTCTGTTTATTCAGATATAAGCTTCTACTGACAGAATAGGTTTATTAACTTAAGTTGTCCTCCTAAGCAAATTTTTAAACTTAGCTATCAACCAAGCTATTAGTGAGGAATTTTTAAACATTCCAATCCCATGACCATTAAAATAAAAAACTTGTAGAAGCCTCTCCCTAAATAAAAGTAAATGATTTAATTGGATCAAGAAATGTACTACTTTATTAAGGTTAATTAAGGTTTATTTTATATGTCAGATAAAACGTAGCTTTAGCAATTATGTTTTATAAAACAATTTCACAAATTAAAATGTTTCATTATAAATAAAAGAATAACAGAATGAGAAGGAACCTTGGAGATCTTCTAATCCAACTCTCTGCTCAAGCAGGAAAATTATAGTTCCATTTCAGACTTGGTTGTCCAATCTCTTCTTGAAAACCTTCATTGTTGGAGCACCCACACCGTCTGGAGGCAACCTAAAACTAAGGAGAAATTTCCTGACAAAACAATTAATCAGTGGAAACTAATTGTTCTATCAGGAAATTTCTCTTTAGTTCTAGGTTAGTTTTCTCCTTGATTAGTTTCTATCTATTGCTTCTTGTCCTGCCTACAGGTGCTTTGAAAAATAGTTTGACTTCCTCTTCTTTGTGGCAGCCCTTTACTGTAGATCAGACATGTCAAACTCACGACATCACGTGATGTCATGCAATGTATCGGGACAGTTTTGCCATTGCCGGCAATGGGGTGGGTGTGGCTTCTGTGTGATGCATCTGGCCCGTGGGCCGGCAGTTTGACACCCCTGCTGTAGATATTGGAACATGCTATTATATCACTCTTAGTTCTTTTTTTATTAAACCAGACATACCCAATTCTTTGTTCTTCGTATGTTTTAGCCTCTAGTTCCCTAATCACCTTTGTTGCTCTTTTCTGCACTCTTTCTAGAGTCTCAACACCTTTTATATAATGGTGGTCAGAACTGGATGCAGTATTCCAAGTATGCTCTTATCAATGCAATGTAAAGTGATACTATTACTTCATGTACTATCCCTTTCTTGGTACAGCCTAGGACTGCATTGCTTCTTTGGCAGCTGCAGAACACTGCTGGCTCATATTTAAGTGGTTGTTCTCTAGAACACCCCCTCACAATCACTGCTGTTGAGCTAGATACCACTATTCTGCACCTGTGCATTTGTGGCATTTGTTTTTTATAAAAGACCTTACTTTTCTCGCCATTGAACTTCATTTTGTTGCATAGGACCCATGTTCAAGTCTGTCAAGATCTTTAGTCTATTTTCTAAATTCTGTCACCAAATTCATCTGTTGGTGATGCTGTCTATCCCACATTTTTCTATCTTACCAAGACATAGGCTGTGGTCTACTTTGTCAAATGCCTAACTGAAGTCTAAGTAAACTATGTTCCCAGTATTTCCCTGATCCACTAATGTAGTCACCTTGTCAAAGGCAATTAGCTTTTTCTGGCATGATATTTTTTTAACAAACCCACAGTGATTTTTAGTATTAGATTTGCTTGTTTCTATGTGCTCAGAGATCCATTGCTTGATTATCTTTTCCAGGTTTTTCCTATATATTGATGTCAGGCTAATTGGTCTGTAGTTTTCTGGATACATTTTTTCCACTTTTTGAAGACTGGTAACACATCAGTTGTTTTCCTGTTCTCCAGTAGTTCCTCAGTGCTCCAGGAACTTTGAAAGATTTGGTTCAGTGGTTCCACGATCACAGCTTCTTCAGAACTCCAGAATGAATCCATCTGATCCTGGTGATACAAAGAATGAATTAAGCAGTTCTGCTTTCTCACTTCTACCCATCACCTATTAGCCATCTTCTCCCATTAATGGACCAATTGTTTCCTTGATTTTTTGTTGTTTTTTACATATTGAAAGAAACTTTTTAAATCATTTTTAGCATTTGTTGCAAATCTTAGTTCATTCTGAGCCTTAGCTTTCTTGAATTCATTTTTACAAATTCAGGCTATTTGTAGTATTCTGTTTTAGTTATGTGTCCCTCTATTTTTATACTTGTCATTTTGTCTCTCAGTTTAATAAACTGAGAGGGTTTTTTTGTGCAACCATGCTGGCTTCAACTGGAGTCTTTTATTTCTTTTTCTCAATAATATCGTTGTGTTAAACTAGGCTTTTATAATCTCATTTTCAGAGTTTCCCAAGTATCTTGAGTTGTTTCCCTCTTTAAGATTTTCATCCATGGTTTTGGTTTCAGTATCGACCTGCATATTTGGCAAGAACTATGGGAAAGAAATAGGAAACTCACCTTAGCTACTTCATATAAGGAAAATCTTTACAAGATGTTTTATAGATGGCATTTTCTACCCGTAAGACTAGCCAAAATGGGTTCAAACATCTCACCCCTATGCTGGAAATGTAAAACAGCAATACGATCATATTACCATATGTGGTGGGAATGCCCAAAGACTCGTGAGTATTGGAACAGGACACAAAACTGGTTGAGGGATATATTAACACTGGACTTAGAGTTAAAACCTGAACTCTTCTTGTTGGGAATAATGACAGAAAAATACGACAAGGGAACAATCTACCTGCTGCTACACATCATGACTGCAGCTAGGCTTGCTTTTGCGCGAAAATGGAAGAGCAAGGAAATTCCCACAGAGGAAGAGTTAATACATAAAATATTAGCATGTGCGGAAATGGACAGGCTCACAATGATATTAAAAGACAAATGTGGATCAGTTTATTATGAAACCTGGGATAAATTTTACCGCTGGAAGAATTCGAAGAGGACGGTTGGGATTAAAGATGAATGTTAAGATAGAAGTATATGTTATTTTAGAATAAGTATTGTATATAAAACTTAGATGTATATGTAGAGTTGAAGAATTGATTGTAAAAAGTGGAATAATCTGATAAGAATGTATATACTGGAATGTCATGTTAAATCCAATGTTTGTTTTTTTTAACTGTATTATAAATAAAATTTGTAAAAAAAAAGAGATTTTCATCCATGGAATACCTTCTAAGTTCTAAGTTTGTTGAAGTCATCTCTCTTAAAGTGTAAGACACTAATTTCACTTTATTCCATTACTTGTGCCTGCATTGTGTTGAATTAAAAGTGACATGGTCACTTTCCCTCAAAGTTCCTACAACTTTAACCCTTTCTTACATTTAATCCCTATTAGTAATCCCTACCTTTTGGATAAAAAAGTTGTCCGGTTCATCAGGATTTTGTTTGATCTCTCACTTGGTTTGTCTTCCAGTTGATGTCAGGGTAAAATCCCACATTATTACTGGAATGCATTCCCTGCACATATTAACTAATTGATTAGCAAAAACTTCATCTATTTCTTCTACTTGATTGGGTGTTCTGTAGTATATGCCTACGGCAATGTCATTCCTTTTTCCAAATGCATTCAATAAAGTTTTCTTCCTTGGTTTTCTTTCTTTTTTTTCATTTCTATAGAGGTGAGATTATTAGGAAATTCCACATCTTCTTTTGTTAGGTCTGTTTCCTTTAAAAAATTTAAATCCTCCTAACAGTACGTTCCAGTCATGAGTTCCATCCCATCAAGTTTTGATAATGGCAACAATGTCATATCTGCCTCATGTACTAGGATATCAAGATTGCCATTTGTTCCTCATACTTTGAACATTAGTATGTGGACATCTGTGTCCTTTTTGACTGATCCTGAATTTGTTTCCTACATCTCCTGTTTTATATCTGAGTTCCTTTTCTTTCACACTACTTAATTGGTCGTCTTGAGTTTATGCATGGGATTAGGTCCTAAAAATAGGTCTCCTTCCCCTTCCACATTTAGTGTAAAGCTCTTTGGTTAAGCCGAACCAATTATTTTCCAAAAACATTCTTCCCAATTCTTATGAAGTGTAGTCCCTCCTCTGCTAGAAGCCCTTCATGTAGGTAATTTAGATTGTGGTCTAGGAATCTAAGACCTAAAGTCTAGGAATTCTCTTGATGCACCATTCTTTAAATAAGTTATTTACTTCTAAAAATCTGTTCCCTCACTGAAAGTTGTCCTTCCATTGGAAGTACAGGTGAAACCCCACCTGTGCTCCCATCTCTTTGGCTTTCATATTTTCCTGATATTGTTTTCAGGTTTTTGTTGTATCATTCATACCCCCATGAAAGAAGAGAAAAAGATAATAGGCTTAATTATTTTAGTAAGTCTCTCAGTCACATATTTGGAAGACAACATATCTCCCTTGATAGATTGTCTGGTCTACAAGTTACTTATTCCATTCCTATGAGTAGTGAGTCTCTAACACATGCCTTTTTTTCTTGAGGACGTCTGGTCTACTTTTGTTCCTGTCACTGATACACTTGATGACGTCCCTTCTCCAGATGTTTGCACACTTTCTTCTAGTGACATTGATTGTTTAGCTCCAGTGAGACTGGACTGAATCAAACTGCATGGTCGTTGTTCTCATTTTTTTTCTTCTATGAGTTACATTATTTACATAATGTTATCTTTATTTTGGTTTATTTGATATTGCCTTAGTTTACTTGAGGAACAAGGCTGAGAAAGAAACATGCAGCATATTAGGCTTAGACAATCTTCAGAGGGAAGATGAATATATCTTGGAAGTAGCAACTTCAATTGAATAAATTCACTAATATAAGAGGGCTGAAGTTCCTACCATAGTTTTCAAGATTCTCTACTTTACCTCAATCCTTGTATTAAACATCTTATTGAAGCCTATTTAATTCTCATAAGGCCTATAACTTTACATATTCTACCTTGAAAAATAACCTTGCAGAAACTAGGAATGGGAGGAAATGTTTGTTTGCTTCACATTTTAAGGTAAATTTACCCAAGTATTGACCAGGAATGGACAATCTTTGGTAGCCCAAGCATTTCTCCAAAAATAAGTTTTGATAGCCAAGACAGTCAAATATGATTTATTCAACTCTATAAAATCTATAAAATTTTATAGATGCTATAAAATCTTGTTACTATATAAAACAAATTCCAAACTCCTTAAGAAATTGAGTTGAGCTTCCTCACCTGGGTTTATTTATTCATTTACTTAATCAATTTGTATGACTGCCCAACTCACAGTTGCAAATCTTGGTAGCTAATATCAAAATAAATATAAATAAAATAACAAAAAGAGAAAAGAAAAAAAACAATCACATTCCAAGCCAACCACATTTTCTATTCTAATAGCAGTAGCACTTAGACTTATATACCGTTTCACAGTGCTTTACAGCCCTCTCTAAGTGGTTTACAGAGTTAGCATATTGCCCCCAACAATCTACTCTTCATTTTATCGACCTTGGAAGGATGGAAGGCTGAGTCAACCTTGAGCCGGTCAAGATTGAACTGCTGGCAGTCGGCAGAGTTAGTCTGCAATACTGCATTCTAACCACTGTGCCACCAAAACTCTTATAGTACAGGGT